TTTGCAAAACCAGCGTCTCGCTCGAGACATCCTCAACAAATTATGAAAAAGAACATACGGGCTCGTGCACCTGGAGAAGGCCAGTCTCTGGGGCGCCCAGATCCCTTAAGTTTTACAAAACAAGCGATTCGCTTGAGACATCCTCGGCAACTCTGCGGAGCAAGCGTTTAGTTCGAGACATCCTCAATACACGAAAGAGTGGCCTGCACCCTGTGATTTATCGATCGAGATTTTTTTTAAGAAAAAACAAGCGTTTCGCATGAGACATCCTCAAATTTTAATCCGCCGGCTCACCTCGACCTCGATATTCATCAAGGAAAGAATCCGCCGGCCCACCTCAGTTGAGGCACTGGGGACAGGTTTATGTACTAAAAGAGAACCCTGGGCCGGCGCCCTTTCCGGGAAAAATGCGGAAGCGGAGGACTGGCTCCTGGACCAGAAGGCGCGCAGGGGGTATACGAATGTTCCCTCGCGTCTTTGCGTGGCTGGGTGGTTGTGCGTCCCCTCTTTGTCGCGCGGGTGCGTGAGCAGCGTGGTGTTCGCCGAGGTCGGTCTGTTCGGCCCTTCTGCGTCAGGTGTGCACGCGGTCGCGCTGAACGGGCGTGCGCAGCTCGCGAAAAACGCGTTCGGCTCCCACGACAGCGAGAGGGTTGAGCGGGTGTCCGCAGCAGAGTACAAGGCGGGCACTTTGGAGCGCGCAGCGGGGTTTGGACCGTGAGGAAAGGGGCAGTGTGTATTCCCAGGATGGACGGGGTGTTCCGTCACGGAGTGAGCGGCGCGGTCGCGGGGTGAGGGTCTCGGGGCATTCTTTTTGTTCGGGGGGGGGGGTTTGTGGCCGCATGAGAGGTCAGAGAGCTACACCCGGAGACGGCCGAAAGGGCGCCCGCGTTCGGGACCAAGGTGGTGGTCAAGAGCACGAACCCTGGAGCGCAGGGGTACACCCGCACGGTGTTCGCCGTCAACGTAGACGGTTTCGTGAAGGCGCGCGGGGGTATCGGAGTTGTGGGAATAGGTCGTGGGGGGTGCGTTCCTTGGCAGGCTGGCCCGTCCAGGACGAGCGGCCAGCGCCTGAGCCGGCCCTGGCTGCGCCCGAAACGGCTGCAGTGGGCCCCTTGGTTGCGGTTCGCGCGTCTGCTTGCTACGTTCCTCTGCGCTGCTTGCGTGCTTTGTTTTTTCGTCACTGTGCCGAGTGGGCCTTCCGGTTGTCGCGTGATCGGTCGGCGTCCGTTTCCGTCGTGTTTCGGCGCGCGGGCGGCCGTTGAGGCCTGCAGCCGAGGTGGCGACCGAGCGCGGCTACTACCAGCCTGCGCGGGCCTACGCGCCCAGGCCGCCGCGGGCGCTGGCAGACGGCGGGCGTGCGCCCACGACCCCGCCACTCCGTCTGGCGTTGGAGGTCGGCGCGCGCTGGGGGGGCGCGACCAGACGCAGCCGCGCTCCTGCGTTCGCGCGTCGAGCCGTCCGAGGGGGGGGGGGGGGGCCTGCGCGGTTCTGGCGGCCGCGAGGACCGGGGCCGCTCGCGGTCGCCCGCCGGGCGCCGCGTGTACGTCTCCGACCTCCCCTGGGATTTGAACGAAGCGGGCGCGACGGCGGACTTTGGGCGCCCCTGCGCTGGCTCTGGTTTGGCCCGCCACGCGGCGGCGGCGCACGGGGGCAGTCGCGCGCTCGCGCAGTGTTAGCGCGATCGGTTGCGCGGGGCATCCCGGGGCGGGCGCGGACGAGGGGGATTTTGTTGGTGGGCTGGGCAGATCCGCGCGTGGGGTCACGAGGGGCGACTTCCTGCACACGGCTACGGGCCGCTTCAACGGCACGGAGTTCGACGAGTACGCCGGCGCCGAAGCATCGGCGAGTCACGGTCTTCTGCCTTTGTCATGCGTGTTCTGGCCGTTTCGTTGTTTTTTTGGTTGTCGTATTCGTGTTTTTCTGGTGTTTGCTTCTGGGGGGGAGGGGCGCCGCGCGCGCAGTTTCCCTGATCGCCCTAGGCGGCCCAGTGGGTCGTGGACCACTGGGCAGACACCCGCTGCAAGGGCCGCTCCATCCACGTAGACCTGGCTCGCCGTTATGCGGGCGCCAATCCGCAGCGAAAGTGGGGTCACGGGGGAGGGCGGCGGCGATTGCCCGCAGGTGGGGCAGCCTGAGCGCGCGGGTAGGCCGCGAGGTGTTGGTAGGCAAGCTTTCTTTGTTCCACTGTCACCATCATGGGTGATAGCATCGCCAGTACCATCATCATCATCAGCATCATCATCAGCATCATCATCATCATCATCATCATCATCGTCATCATCATCGTCATCATAATCTTCATCCGTGCCGCCTGGTTTTTCCTCCACATGGTCATTATGCCACCATTGCGACGCATTGTGTACATGACATGCACGCGGCCCGTCGAGGGTTCGGTCACGTCGCCGCCATCAAGCATTACCATCGTTGTCGTTGCGTCTTCGATTTCCACGCCAGGCTTGTGCGACCGCAGCTTCCAATTCGCGTGCGTGTCGTTTCGCGTGGGCAATGCGAAGCTGCGTGGGCGGGCCAGAAGAATGAGCCATCGTCTGGCTCGGCCGCGGCCGCAGAAAGGCGGCAACGAGGTAAAAGGACACATGGGGCGGGGAAGCAGTGGCGAGACTGGAGGTCGGGGGGGGGGCTCAAGAATAATAACAATGAGAAGAAGAAGATGACGACTCGGCCTTGCGTGTGGTCTCGGTTGGACCTCAGGGGGGTCGAGCTATCAGCCCGACTCGACATCAACCTCTCACAGTCGGATCGTGCCGTGACGATCCGATGTGGGGATTACACGCACCGTGCAGCCTCTGGGGGACATCGCCCGCGGGACCGCCGCAAGTCGTCACGCTGTCTTTGGGCAGGGGGTGATGCCCCGCAGGCCTCTTTGAGGCCGTGGCCGCCGATGTTGCCTGCATCAGGCCGGCCTCCGAGGCATTCACACCTGCCCTGATCGGCCACTTCGACCCCCCAACTCAACACCTCCGACTCCTCCGCTCAACTCCACCTCAGATCGGGGGGGGGTCCAGGGGCCAGACAGCTAAAAAGCTCGAGAGTGACAGAGGTGGGAGGAGGAGGAGGAGGAGGAGGAGGAGGAGGAGGAGGAGGAGGAGGACGAGGTGGGGGAGGGGAGATCGGCGGCGCCCGGGCAACGCGGCGCAGTACAACAATCATTTGAGGTGGGCGCCTGCGCCGTACCCGCGCAGAGGTCCCCGTAGGCGCTGGCGACGAAACCGGTCGGTGGTGCCCACGGGGACGGGGCGCGTTTCGATTCCTCCGATTCGATTCGATTAGACTTCGATGGATTCCGATTCCGATTCGATTCGATTTCGGATTCCGATTTGGGGTCCGATTTCTTATTGGAGGCATACTGGCCTGCCAATTTCCGCCGATTCGACTTTTCCCGATTCGGCTGCCGATTTCCGCCGACCCGATTCATGTCGATTGCCGATCCGATTTCTCGATTCGATTCTGGGCTCTCCTGCCCCGGGGACGGGCTCGGCGTATGCGGTTCGGAAGAGAGAAATCCAAGCAGGTGAAGCGCGAGACAGCGTTGCCAGGACTTCCCGCGAGCAAAAGACCGGACAGGGCCCCACGCCCTGGCCGACCCCGGGGCCCACAAGGAGACGAAGCGAGGGCCCGGGAACGCACCGAAGGTGCCGCTTGGCACCGGTCCTCCAGGGCAGCCCGAGCTCCTCCCCCGCACGGGCCGCGGCCGCCAGGCCTTGGCCTGGGGGATCGGAGGGCACCAACTATACACCAACACGGATCCTGGCCCAGGATCACCCTGGGCCCATGATCGGTGTATATGCCTTCTTGCCCAAGGCAGGAGGGCGTATGCACCGATCCTGGGCCCAGGGTGATCCTGGCCAGGATCGGTGGTGGTGTACAGTTGGTGCCTTCCCAGGGGAGGTCCCAGGAGCCCGAGATCCAGCAACAGCGAATCCGAGCGGTGGTGGCGCAGGAGCAGGCCTCGGGTGGGAATAGAAGATTTCAGACGCTGAGGGAAGGGAGCTGTCCACGTCGCAGTGGGATCCCTCCGTCGTGCATGTGACCTCGAACCTCCAGGTCATGCACAGGGCGCTTGATAACTAATCTACAGAAGAAGGTACAATAGTTTTTGCATCTGAATGATCTCACGCGTCAATCTCAGGCGAGGGGTTACGAAGCCCGAGACCGCCGTAGCTTGTGAAGAAAGCAGTCCAAACACAGCCGTCATATCGTACCTGCGTGGGCAGGTGCAAAAAGACATGAATATGAATACCTCGGTCCGTGGATGCGACCAAGTAGCGTAGTCGAAGTCCTCTCCAGTCTAAGTGTCATGAATTCTCCAGATTGGTCTGACGCTGTGCCTGTTCTTTCTGTTTCACCCTTTCTCGCAGAGCTGCCAATCGATTTTCCCAGTGCGATTTAGTAGGTGCCCTCACCGCCTCTTGCCGCCCTTTTCCGTCTTCTTGCCTTTGTCGAGAAGCGTCTGCGCCAACTGTTCCAAGTGACCCTGAGCAGCTGCTCCCAGCTTCATGCGACCTCCAACGGCCGTAATGCAATTCACCACCGCTTGCTCGATCTCCAGCTTGCTCATCGCCACCTCCTCGTTCCCCCCCACCTGTGGGATCGTCAGGCCGTCCGCGAGGGGGTGCAGGATGAGGAGGAGGAGGAGGAGCAGCAGCAGCAGCAGAACGAGGAAGATGACGATTGAACGGAGAGCGAGGAGAACAGAACGTCCGAAAGTTGCAGCGTCGTCCTGCTTCCCTTCCCACCGCGTGAAGACCTGGTCAGCTCCACGCCAGGCGTTGGTCCGCAGTCGGGTATGATGCTGGACCTTCCGGGAGTTATCCTTCAAAGTCTCACCAGTGTTGACGACCTGGCGAGTAGCCCGCAGTGCGTTTTTCCGCAATCGGGTAACATGTGGGACATGTAATGGACCATCAGTGGAACTCGGTAAAAATGGCCTTGTCATCCTTTCATGCATCGGCGGCTCCATGGCGACTGGCCGAGCCGAGAAGGCGCTGCAGAGCGTGGACGAGTTCCCGGACTGGGTGGAGTCGCTCGCGGCCGCGCAGGCCGCTGGCGCTTACGGGGAGCTGCTGAGCCGCGGCCAGGCCCGGGGATGAGCATCGTCCACCCGATCCCGGTCCTCCCTCGTGCTCGCTGTGCTCGCCGTGCCCTCCCTCGTGCTCGCCGTCCACCCGATCCCGGCGGGCCCTCCCTCGTGCTCGCCGCCCTGGGCCTCCCAGGAGGCCCTCGTCGCCGCGGCTGGGTCCGCTCCGAGCTGCGGGCCAGAGCGCCCCCCAGAGGAGAGGTCCTGGGAGTGGCGCTGGCGGCATGCTTGTTGGCGTCCACGAGGGGGGGGGCGGCCCAGCACCGCCTGACCGATCCCCATGCCCCGTTGGGCCATGCCACCTCCGCCCCACCGGCCCACACCCCCAGAGGTCCCAGGCACCCTCGGGTCATGAAGAAAGCACGACGGGAGGTTCTTCGCCATGTTCGGCCCCGGCCCTTTCTATGGCGGGGGCGTTCGAAAGACTACTCGGGATGTAAAAACCGGTCCCAGGGAGTGGGTCGAGACCTCTGGGTTTATGATGTTCCACCGTATTTTAGCCTTGATCACCAGAAAGAATCTCAAGCGCCAAAACAGCACCGAAACCGGAGGGTTTTCTCGCGTCGGGCCCTGGCAGGCGAGGCTCCTTCGACACTGCTTCGATACTCTTCGGGGTGCCCGACATTCTTCTTGGGATGTGACCCTCAAGGTACGACTGGAGCAGCACAGCTCCAGGGGTCGACGTCATGACAAGATCATGGCGTCGGGGGCCCGGGGTGGGGACGGGCCCCGCGAAGCCCGAGGAAGGGAGCCGCCTTCATCCCCACTGGTAGGGGGGGCAGGTCGGCCACAGTGGGGCCAGGGGGCCATGCCAAGGGGGGGGATGTCGGACGGGGCTTGGACTAGGGTGAACCCAGAGGTCCGCGCGCATAGAACAAGATCAAGGACGCACGTTTTGCGCAGCTTTCGGCCTGCAGCGGCCCTCACCGGTCCCCGGGACCGTCACAAAACGACTCAGGATGAAAAATTGGTCTTGGGGAGTGGGTCGAGCCTTCTGGGAAGCCCGCATTGAAAAAAACACGGCATCGGATCTTTGGGAGTCCCTTCCAGCGCATTCCAGGACGCTCTCACGGCTTTCCAGAGCACTCTTGAGAGAAGGCCGCAGCGCCCGAGACATCCTCAAGAGCCGCCGCATCGGCGAGATTCCCGACCTGTCCTCGCCCGATGTCGTCCTCGTCCTGGCTTCGTCGTCGGATGGATGGGTCAAACGATGCTCCGGTGAGTCGCGCGCAGGTGAGCGTTTTTTGTTTTCATTATTTTGCCGATCGGCGCGGGCGCTCACCCCCTCGTCTCCCCTCCGCCCTGGAACAGATCTTAGCTGTTTTTGGCGCCTGTTTCGAGCAGGTGGAGGCTCCCCGATAGGACGCACGGCCTAAAACAGTCGCACTAAGCAGAGGTCCAGTGCCAGACCCCCCCCCTCCCCCCCCCTTCCGGTCAATGTCGAATCGCCACATAAATAAACGTTCATTTGGTGTTTTTTCTCCCCCAATCCCTAGGTTCTGCCCGAGAAAGTTTGGCCGCTCAGAAGAGGGGAGAACCGCGGGATGCACCCCAAGCGAGCTATCCGGACGCACCCCATATCGAGGATGGACGCCCCCCCATCGTGTATCATTCGTATATCCCAGGGTTGGGCCCCACATTTCTGGCCCATTCGAAAACCCCACGATGCCTGGGATAGGGGTCGACATATGCCTTGGTTGAGTCTAGGCCTCCTGGATGGGGTCGGCGTAGAGGGGGTCGGAGGATCGCGCCGCATCGCCGATGCATCGGCGATGCGACTCGATGCGGAGCCCCGTTTCCTCCACGCAGACGGTGCCAATGCATCGCCGCCGTCACCAGTGCATCGCCGTTGCATCGCCGATGCATCGGGGATGCATCGGCGATGCATTGGCGATGCGGTACGATCCTCCGACCCCATCTACTCCGACCCCATCTGGGAGCCCAGACCCCCGACGTCATGATGTTTTCATGGCGTCGACCCCCAGAGGTCTGGACCCATTCCCCGACGCAGAAGCGGTAGATGGGTACGGCGGGCCAGGTTAGCCAGGTCGAGCGAGTCAGAGGGTCCTTCCTCCCCCCTCCCTTCAGGGCTCACTTCGATTCCTCCGATTCGATTCGGTTCGACTTCGATGGCCTCCGATTCCGATTCGATTCGGCTTGGACTGCCGATTTGGGCTCCGATGTCTTATTGGACTACTAGCCTGCCGATTTCCGCCGACTCGATGTTTCCCGGCTCGGCTGCCGATTTCCGCCGATCCGAGTCATTTCGATCGCCGATCCGACTTCTCGATTCGATTCTGGGCCCTCCCCCCCCTTCCCTCCCACAGCACAAGAGAATCACCCGCGGCTCAGCCTGACATGGGGGTGCGAAGGCGCTCCCACCTCGCAGGCGGGAGGAGCTCGCGTGCGGCCCCGCCTCCGACGCCCCGGCGAGGAGAGAACGTTGCGCGGGCCGCGCCGCGGCGGGGGCGGCAGCACTTCCGATGGCCGCAGCGATGCGGGCGACAAGATCGATACAGATCCACTGCCCCCCTTGGCATCGCTCGGACGTGTGCATTTTTCCTTCGGCGAGGACCTTCGAGGAGCATCCTCGACCATCTGGCGAAAAAAACACGCACGAAACCGAAACAAAAACACAGGACATGGACGTCCGAGCGATGGCCAGCCTCTGGCCGGGCCCTTCCCTGGGCCCGGGATCCGTGTGCACGCCTTTCCTGGCAGAGCCACGAGGGCGTGGCGCATAGGCACCGCCGCTGGGTGCAGGGTGCACCCTGGCCGGGGAGCAGCGGAAAATGTGCAAACCTCGTCGCCCTCGCGGGAAAACGAAGCAGGCGCCGCGCCGACGAAAAGCACTGCCGCCTTCACCCACAAGCCGTGCGCGGCGCGCGGGCGAGCTCGGCCTCTCGCCCGCTCTCCGCGCGGCCCCGCTGCCGCCGCCGCCGGCGTGCGCCTCTGCGGACGGGAGCCGGGCGCCGCGCCCCGCGCTGGCACGCGCCACTGCCGAGCGACGTGCTGCGCGCGGAGCCGGGGCGAGGGCGACAGAGACCCCCCGCTCGCGCAGGCCGCCCCGAAGGAGTGGCGAGCGGCGGATCTCCGCCGCGCCGGGGCGGTAATTAGGGCCACCTTCCGGCGAGCTCTGCACTGCGCGGCGCCGCAGAGAGAGAAGGACACGTTCGCCCACCTCGCGAGTCGACGACGTTTCGCGCAGCAGGATGTGCACCGCGCCCACGCGGGCGTTCAGTCCTCCAGAAGAGCAGGCGCGGCGCCGGTGCGAAGACGACGCGTCGGCCGTTCGCGCGCGGCGGGCGTGCGCCCCGGCCCCGCTCCCGCCATGCATCTTGCAGCATGGGCGGCGTGGTGTCCACTTCGGGGCGGCAGTTTTGACTGCGTCGCGTTTTCTGGCAGGGAGGACGGGACCCCCAGGTGCGGGCGTTCAAGATTGAACGCGGAACCGCCGATCGTTCCAGGTCGATTGATCCAGAGGGTGTCAGGCGCCAGCGCTGACGTCGTCACGGCGCGAAGGTGCCGCATCTCTTTCTTCAGCTGTCTTTCGCCATTCCGCGGGCTCCCCGCGGAGTAGAGACTTCCAGGGCTTTCACCAGGCTATGTGGGAGCTGAAGCGGCTGGGTGTTTCTGTGCTCGAGCCCGGTAGTGTGCTGGAGGCGGAGGATGAGGCGGAGGAGCGGGGCAGATCGTGGCAACGGGGTCGACGCCGTGACGCCGGGGCCGCCAGGGCGCGCGCGCCGCAGGCACCCGGGCGCGGTGAGCGCGCAACGAGGCGCGCCGGGCTGAGGCACCACTTATTCAACGAAGCGAAGCGAAACGTGAACCCGCCGTATCGATGCCGCTGTCCTTCCCTCGTCGGCCTCCCAAGGGAGGCCTCCGTCGCCACGGCATGCTTCTCCTTCGAAGGTCTGGTAAGAAAGCACCCCCCCAGGAGAGGACTTTTATGTTTCCGCATGAGAAGGGCGGACTCTTGCTTGACCTCCTCGTCCTCATCCTACTGCTCATCCACCTCGTCCTCCCCCTCCTCCCCCCCGTCCCCCTCCACCTCGTCCCGCCCTCCCTCCCCTTCCTCCTCCTCCTCCTCCTCCTCCTCCTCCTCCTCACCTTCCTCTGTGGGTTCGTCGGATCGTTCGGGTCAAACTTTCTGGGCCCCTCCGAGCACAGATCGAGCGAGGAGATTCGAGCCCCCCCCCTCAAATCTTGTCGGTCCACTGCGACCGCTGGTGTCTGACTCTGGCAGGCATTCTACGCACACGTGCGGGGCAGGCGGGTGGTGCTGGACGCGCACGACCTGTACCACACGAGGCCAACGTTCGACCTGCTCAGCGCTTTCTTTCCTGATCAGGTCGCGCAGGACCCCATGACGACGGGAGCTCCAAAGAGCTGGTTAGCCACCGGTGGCGCCGGGGCCACGCTTCTCCGTGACGTCTCCCGCGAAACGGCTGAGCCTGCCCCTGCCCCCCCTTGTTTCAGAGGAGAGAGAGAGAGAGAGGTCATAAGATTAGCAAGCGTGGACCCCAAACAGCGTGTTTCTAGCCACTGGTGGTGTGCAGTTTTGTGGGGCAGTCCATGTTGTGCAATAGATGTGGTGCAATCGACGTTGTGCTATCGATGCTCCGGAATTTACGCTGTGCAATATTCGTGGTGGATTATATGTGGTGCGCTCTATGCTGTGCAACATGTGTGGTGCATTCGATGTGGAGCGAAATAGGTTGTGCAGTCTACGTGTTGCAATATATATATATAATTCGGGGTCTACGATGTGCAGTTGTTGATAATGTATACATGTAAAACTAATGAAGGAAACATCTGTGTCTGTATGCATGCATGTATGTATGTATGTACGTATGTACGGATGTATGTATTTATGTATGTGTGTATGTGTGTATGTGTGTATGTGTGTATGTGTACGTATGTATGCATGTCTGTATGTATGCGTGCACGCATGCACGTATGTCAATATATGTGCGTGGTGCAAGCTATGTGGTGCAATTCACGTTGCCGAGC